ATTATTATAGAAATTGATTGATCCCGATTTTGTAACAACGAATTAATTTATGTAGCATTGATAAGAGATATATATTATCCTTATATACAGTAAGGATAGAAATTTTTTAAAAAAAAAACCTATTTTTATTAAATAAATTTATAAATATTATATAGATGCTATTATTATATGTACGTGTAAATTGCATCGTAGTCAGTTTTATAATAGATAAAACTGTGAAGCTTCCTAATTTTTTTATTTTATTTTATTTTATTTGTTTAACCAACCATTTAAAAGGTTATAAAATTAAATTATTGACCGTTGATGATTTCAATATAAAAAATTTAGTTTTAAAATTATGAACTTTATTGCATCAAAAAAAATGAAAAAAAAAATTCGTTGGGAAACATTTAAAAAAGTTCAGACTAAATAATAGGGCTAGGATAAAAGGGGCGACGATTTACTTGTTGATCTCTTTGTTTGCTTCGCCAGCATTTTTTTTGATCTTGCCTTCTCCTTGCATCTGTTCATTACCGAGAGCTTTACCAGCGGTTTCTAGAAGTTCAAAATCAAACATTAGTATATTTATGTAAAAGATTAAAAAATGGTATTTTGCATTTTAAATATAAACCTTTTATGCCTCCGGTTGTTTTATCTTTGTAACCTTCTGCTTGTCCTTGAACTTGTGCAGCTTTGTATTCACCTTCACCTAAAATAACGAAGGAAATCATAAATTACACTTTGTATTATAGATCAAGTTGTGATATCAAAAAAAATTTTAATTACCTTCGGCTTTCTTTGCTTTTCCTTCGGCTTTCATTTGTTCATTGCCTAACGTATTACCTACGGTTTCTTTTGCAGCACCTTGGTAGTATTTAGTATTACCAGAAATTTTAGATGGTTCGTTAGAAGACATGATGATTAATTTGTTGATTGTTTTAAAAAAAGTGGTTTTGTGTTTTTCTTTTTGTTTATTTGATCGAATTGATTAAATATTTGAGTTCGAGTTGAAAAAAAAAAGGAAAGTTTTGTAGCGTATTTATAATATTTCATGGTCGTAGCAATCTTGATGTCATGATAACGTATGTAGTATTTTTCGTGAAGAAAGAATATATAACTACGAAATTTACATTTTATTGTGATGGAACTATTTGCGAATGATGATCAATCTTTTCATCATCATTACAAGATTTACAAGACGAGCAGGTGAAATAAAGGATGCGCCAAATAAAATTGGTAATTATGACGAATATATAAATCATCACATGAGGTGTTAAATGAAAAAAATTGTGTTGTTTATTCTTTAATAGGAAAACTCTCATACTAATTAATGTGGTATGTACAAGATCGACACGAGCTGTGTCGATGGAACGTCATTATGATCCAAATTTTAATCATCACCAATCACAAAAGGTCGTCCTTTTTGATATTACCAAGTCAAAATTAAATAACTAAAATCTTTTAATTGATAAAATCTAAAGTTGGGTTCCTGTTTCTACGCGTTGTAAACGCGTCATATTCATATTATTTTTTTTTTGGCGTAATATGTGAACCAATACAGCAACGAAAAATAATTTCAATGTTAAAAATATCTTTTTACAACTAACATTTCGAAAAAATGAAAAGAAATTTTCTATCTGTAGAATTTAATAATATAGCGAGCATTTAATAATAAATATCTAATTGCTTTGTATTTTCACATAATGGATGTTTTTTTTATAAAATTTATTTTATTTTTTGTGATATCACGGAGTTTATATGAAAAATTAAATAAAACGATAAATTTTTTATAAATTTTATCAGCTGTAATTTTTGAAATTAGTTCTTCTGATCCTTGCGGTTAATTTTTGAATAGCATTTAGTATCTAAAGTGGTTGACGAAAGGGATCTTTTTTTATTCTTACAGTATTAATGATTGTACTTTCATCGAAGATGTATTTATCATTAAAATTTGCAATAGCTTGAGATATATAGTTTTTTCGCAATAATATTGATAGCATGGATATATTTGAGGAGGCATTAAATCTTGCTTTTTCATTGGATAAAGCAATTCGTCTTTTAAGAATATATTAATTAGTTTGTTAAGATTTTTTTTCAGTAGGTTTTTTTCAAAAGTAAAATTCGCCTAAAATAAAGATTTGTTAAATCATGTTATTAAGCTTGTAAAACCTTTTTTCATGGTTTCTTCCATTTTTTTAAAAATAATGACGAAAAAGAGGACGATAATAAACTTTCCTTTAATAATTTTAAGTTTAACATAATATAATCACACGATAATATCGTTATAGTGCATTGCAACGGCTAAATCTGACTGGATCACAATAATTTTGAATATTTATCATTACAAAACATCACCTAAATTAGATAAATAGAGATTTTTATATTTAATAGTAATTTTTTGCGAGACTTTCATAATTATTGTACCACTTCGTTTAGATTGTGATACCTAAAGTGACTATATAACTAAAATTTTAATCCGATTTAAAGCCTGTAATCGGATTTTTAATATATTTAAATTTGAGTATTACTTAATTTGTGATTTTTAAAAAATTTCATTTGCAATTTTTTCGTGGTACAATACTTTTGAAAAATTAATATAATAAAGTTATGATCATATGACGCGTCTTATACACATAAGTAAATTTAAATCAGTAGATAATATGTACGCCTTTCTTTTGTTTTTTTAAATATGTTATGAAGACAATTCCACTTCACCGAAGGGAATGTATTTTTGCCCTTATCCAAGAAGGTTTACCAAGTCATATAATTGTTTTTACAAAAATATAAGTCATGCTTCTGTAATAAGAATCAAACAAAAAAAAGAAGAAACAAACAGCTTTGATGTTATTCCAAAACTAGGTTACCTAAGAATACTTACAGAACATCATGATAGGAATATTGCCAGGTTTATTAAGTTAGGTAAATGTATAAATGCTATTCAAATTCAAAAATCTTTAATTTTCAATGAAAATATTGTATTTTACCAAATACTATTAGATGCTCATTAAAAAGGCAAAGTCTTATAACTAGAATTAAAAAAATATTACTTCTAAAGAGACATAGAAAAGTCCAAAAAAATTTGCTAAAAAATATAAGAATTGAACTATAGGAGATTAATGAAAAGTAGTGTGACCAAATGAAAGTAAATTCTTAATTTTTAGTTTAAATGAGAAAAAGTGATATTAGCAAGTTCTAAATTTACCTTTGTAACTACAATATATTAAATTAACTATAACGTTTAGTAGAGATTCTATAATAATATAGGTTATATAAATTTATTTAGTATTGGAAAATATTGTAAAATTAATAGAAAATAAATGGAGAGCTATATAGAGAAATTTTAGAAAATAAGTTTTTAGGGACCCTTAGTGCATGTAATTTGAATGTAAATGATATTATTTTCTAATAGAATAATAACTCAAAATATACAATAAAGAAATATATAAATAGTTTGATAACAATAATATTGAAATTTTAGATTGGCTAGCACAATCACCAGACTTAAATCTTATTGAATATTTATAAAATGAAATTAATTGTCATTTACAATAACTTTCTGATAATATTACTAGTACAGAAAATTTGTGAAATAAGATATAATTAAATTAATATTGATTTTTATTTAAAGCTAATTGATACTTTATCATAACAAATTAAATATATATTTAAGGCTAATAAGAGATATATAAGATAGTAACAGTTTTGTTAAAAAAATTAGAGTATAGTTTGTTAAAAAAATTTAAAAAATTTATGTTTTTAATTTTATTTATTATATGTGTCAGAAGTCTTGTACCATAAAATTGATTATAAAAGAATTTTTTTTTAAAATTATAAATAAAAAGAAATTTAAATTTGAATATATTATAAAAAAAGACTTGAATAATACATTAAATAAATTTTGATCATTAAATTTTAATTTATTATGATCTAAAATCATAAACAAAGTAGTATAATAATTATAGAAATCACTGTATAATTTAACATAATTAATATAATTACAAAGAATTTTAAAAGTTTATATTATATACTTTTTTATGTAACATTTACCAAAATTTTAATAAGACAAATAAATAATTAATAAAACTTATTCCTACATTTAAGTATATTCTACTAAGATTCTATTATTTAGTTAATTTATAATTTGTATCTATTACTATTTAAATTTATTAAATTATACTTTTAGATTATTTTCTTGTAAAATTAACTTTTAAAGATTTCGTTTTATTATTAAAAAATGTTTTTTTTTGACTTTAAAGATTTATTTTATAAATTATTGATTAAAATAAGATTAAAACCTTAGATAGTTCATTGAATTTCTTTTTTATATTTTACTATCAATTATTTAATTTGATTATAATTTGAAGTTATAAGTTAGATTATATAAAATATGACTTTATAAAAATAAATTCAATAATTTTTGCAATTTTTATATAAAGATGTTTTAAAATTTATTTCATATTCAATAATATCTTCATTATAAAATAATAACATGATAAATGTAAAGGTTACAAATATTGATAATCTGATTGAATTATTATAATAAATATTTTTATTTATTAGTTTAGTAAGAATTTATTTATTGTTAAAGCCATTTTTATTAATAAATATTTAATAAAGCTGCATAAAACATGTTTGTATAAACTTTTTGATCGATTTATTATTATACATTTTAGTTTTATATTATTCATTATTATTTATAAAGAAATGTGATTTTTCAATAAATGTAAAATAGAAGAAAGATTATTTTGGTATTAGTTTTCCTTTTATATTTTCATTCAAATTCTCTTATCCCTTAAATGGTAAGTAAAGATTTTCATCCTGTTTTATTAATAAAAACGATTTTCCGAACTTGTTGATTATTAATTAATTTCTGTACAAGATGAGAGTTACAGATAAATTGCCTAGTTATACGAAATAAAAACACGGCTAATTAATCATATTATGATTTATCCGATATTTGATAACGGATATATAGTCCATATGAAAAGGTTCTCGCACTTTAATCTTAAAATTTGCTAAATATGAATGACGATATAGAAAATTCGAAAGTTTTTCTTGTGAAAAAGAAAGAAAATGACGCCCATAAAAAATTTTTTGATGATTTAGAAGAAAAAAGTAAATGCAAAGTTGATGAAAATATGATAATTAATACTTTGGAAAACTGCAATGACAACGAAGAAATTCAGTCACTTGAAAATCTAGTACACCAATTAGCTAATTCCAAAGTTGTGGAATTACCATACTATGGTTCTTTAAAAAAACTTATTGACTTGAAAGATGAAAAGTCAATTATGGAGTTTTTTGATTATTGTGCGAAAGTGTGCATCGAAGAAGAAAAACTTGAGCTCATGTGCGAAGTTATTGTTCTACTCCAAGAATTCATTGATATACCCTTCTACAAGAGTCCGGTGGCCAGGCTTATAAAACAGCTCACTTACGTTAAGGTTCCATTAAAATGGTGTAAATTAAGAGAATACCAATCAGTAAACGAAAATCTTTATGGTTACAAGATTCATAATCCAAAGTTGTCCAAATTTGACAGGTTAGATCATACATTCCTTTTCAATTTCGTTATACTGCGCATTAATCGCGATTTGTATTATTGTACGAATAAAGGTATCAAACAATCCCTCAACACTTTGCCACGATGTGCTATTTACCATTTCCCGGCCTATGCAGTTATCCGGAGGACCCTACTGTGTTCAATGCCTTATTTCCACATAAAATAAGTCCCTTTGCAAAATTCATAATCACCTATCCCGACGAAATATTTCAAGCTTCTCATGCTTCCTCTGAAATAATTGATTCTCCAGCTTTTCACGCCATTATCAAGTTTAAGTGGCGTAATTTTGCGTGTAAACGTTTCTTTGTGATTTTTGCGTCTTATCTCTTTCACTTTGGCTTTTTTTATGGAGCGATTTTCTCAAACATCATGAATCTACGGATTATAAGCACTATCTTGGGAGGATTTCTAACAATCTGCATAATCCGATATTCTTTTATAATGTATTTGAACGGTGCCGGTGTCAGGTTTTTTTCTCCTACAATGTTTCTTACATTCGCAGGGATTGTCCTACCTGTTGTTACTCTATTCCTGGGGATCGTCCAAGACGAAAATAAAATACTCCCTATTCTCCAAGCTTTATCAATCGGTTTCCTTTGGATTGGTGCAATCCAATTTTTAGTTGCCTTTAGGAGAATCGGAATTTTCATCATTGGTAAGTTTTCACAAATCTATCTAATAAAAGGTTTAATAACTTATTAACCTTGTTTACCGTGCAGTCGTTGCACATGTTTGTAGAGAGATTTTGTGGCTACTTATCTATTTAGGCTTAGTTATATTCGCTTCTGCCCACGGATTAGTGGTTTATTCCTATAAAATAATTGAAGAAGAAAATGTGACTGATGTTGAAACTAATGCAAAGCTTGGGAAGTTTAAAGAACTTACTCATTATACCAATTCACTCAATGCTTATTGGGCGGGGTTTCTAAGTGATTACAGTTTATGGCCGGAAGGAGATCCCTTTATATATATCGCAAAGGTTGCATACTCACTCTTTATAACTGTCGTAATCCTGAACATTATGAGTACGTACTGTCCTTTATGTTTGCATTCAGCAATTTCTTTCTAACAACTTTTTCGTCGCCAGTTGCACTTGTAAATAATGTCTATACAGAAGTACTTAATCGTGCACACACTGAATGGACCATGGTACGGGCACAAATGATTGTCATCATTGAACTCGCTACAATGACGCCATCTAATCGTCAAAATAGGTATACACGTCTTGTAAAATAATAATACAGTTCGTGCCAATATTCCTACTCATATATTAACCTGGTTCATTGATTTGTTTATTCACACACAATAAAGGGATTATTTTCCTTGGACCATATTTTATAAAGCTTTCACTGAAGATGTTGAAAGTTGGCACCAAAAGCTCGAAGCAGATAATATCACAGTTTCACGGAATAAAATCCAGAGTTTAGATGAAATGGCAGATGAGATAGCCAAAATGAAAGATGGTGCGATAAAAACAAAAATGACAGATAAATTAAATGAATTGAGGCAAATCTTCTCATGAAGAATCAGACTAAAGAACCGAAACAATCAATTCTTTATTAAGTGTTCGTCCCCTATGAGTCAGTTAATGCGTTTTGAGTTTTCCTAGGAATAAACCAAACGTATATCATTTATTAAATATTCATTCCTCAAGCAGTAAAAATTAGGTAATATGTCCTATCACATTTATAAATTATATTAATGGACTTTCGCTTTTATCAACTTTTCGGAAAACATGGCATTTTTTGGGTTAATATTTTTTTCAGTAATAAATATTTCCCGAAAAAAATTTCGTATTTATGGAATCATAGCCGTGTGGTTTTATTTATAATAAAAAAAAAAAGATTATATAAAAAAAATTATTATTGAACATGCAATTAAGAGAATGGTTAGAATCGCCGAATTGGCATAAAGAAAGATATTTAATGACCCTTGTTAATAAATTTGAAGAAAATAATAAACGTTTCTTTTATAGTATAGTTTAACAAGTTAATAATTATCTTATAAAATATTTTAATATATAACAGTATACTAAAAGGAATAAATTTCTCTAGTTTTATACATATTTTATGTTGTATAATCAGGGTTGTAAAATTACCGTAAGATTCGGGATGTCTGTGTAAGTTTCGTAAGTTACATAAGTTACGGTAAAGTTACCGGTTACACGTTCCAAATTTAGAAATCTCATAGTTTATTTAAAAAAAAATATTTTTTTCACGGTTTTCTTCAAAAAAAATAATAATCGTTTTATTTTTTAAAATGTAACTAAATATTGAAATAAAATTTTACGATCGATTGATTATCTTCGAAATTGTGGCAAATATCTTAATATGGTGAAGAAATTGGAATTTTCGCTATATTAAGATTTAATACTACCTTTTTGATTCAAAAATTTATTCCCCTTTTTCTAATTTTTTGAATACCGCGAGTAAAAAAATGCCAAGAACCAAAGGAAATTTTTGGAATGAATTTGAGCAAATATCGAATGAAAATAATGAAAGTTCTGAACAATGGCGGTGTTTACATTGTGGTCAACAATGGGTTAAAAATGCAAGTCGTTTATCCAAGCATTTAGAAAACTGTAAAAAGTATCAGGATAGTTTAAATCAATCTGAACCTTTATTTCCACCTCCACCAACAACAAAACGATGTAAAATGGGACAACAAATGACTCTTGATGGATATGCATATTCTTTTAGTCAAAAAGATCAAGAAGAAATGGAAAAACTTTTAGCGCGTGCCTTTTATTCAGCTGGAATTTCTTTTAATATAATTGATAATCCTGATTTTTGTATATTTCTTAAAAAAGCATGTTCAGCATTTAAGATTCCTTCACGACATAAATTATCAACCACCATTTTAGATGCAGAATACAACTCTTTAAAAAAAGATGTAGATGATGTATTAGAAAAAAAGGAATACTTATGTATTACAAGTGATGGATGGTCAAACATAAAGAAAACTTCTATTATCAACTATATGGTTACAATTCCACAACCAATTTTTTATAAATCAATTCCTACACATGAAGAACGACATACCGCGGAAAATATTTCAGCAGGAATTAAACAAACTATTAATGAAGTTGGTGAAGAAAAGGTTGTTGCTATTATTACTGATAATGCACCAAATATGAAAGCTGCATGGGAGATTCTTAAAAATGAATATCCACATAAGGTAATTATTAAAATATATTAATTAAATTAAATAAATAAAATCGTTAATAAAAAAATTTGTATATTTTAGATATTTTTGGGTTGTTGGGCTCACGGAATAAATTTATGGATTAAAGATATTATGAAACTTACTTGGTCTGAAAATTTACTTCAATTTGCAAAATATATTATTAATTATTTTCGAAAACATCAAGTTCTTCTTGCTGTTTTACGTCGATTACAAATGGAAAAATATGGTACACATATTGCATTATTATTACCTGGACGAACACGATGGGGATCAGCATATTATTGTATTAGAAGTCTTATTAAAACAAAAGTTGCACTACTTAATACACTTTATGAAGAAGAAATTGAAGTAGATTTACAAATAAAACAAAAAATTCTTGATGATTCTTTTTGGCAAAATTTAAGAATTTTATGTGATTTTCTTGAACCATTTGTAAAATTTATTAATCA